CCCCTTCGTCCCCTCCTTCCCGGACTCGAGCTGGGCTCCAGTTTTGCAGAGTCCGCTCGCCCCGATGCCCAGGGGGAGGCCGGGGTCGCACGGGTTAGCGGGCCGAGGGGAGGTTTGCCCCGGTCGTCCTGCGAGCATTCTCCTCCCCTGCAGCTAGTGGCTTGCACCCACTACCTCCCCTGCCCTGCGGTTGCGCCAAACCTCCAACCCCCAGGAGTATTGTGCCGCCCGAGATAAAATGCATCCTTTGTCCACCCGCCCGCCTCCTCTTCCCCTCCAATCAGGCTCTGCTTAAGATTCTTAGTTGGGAGCCACTAAAGGTTGTGACACCCCAGTTACATCTGCACAGAACATGTCCACTGTCGAGGGATGTCTCCTGTAGAAATGATAAATGCTCCTGCCTCACCCTCGAAGACTGTCTTCAAGATTTAAGATCCCATATGCTCTTCTTGAAGAGGGCCAGTCTTTGATCACATCTAGCACATCCCTCCCCCACAACACACACACACCCCACACCCACCCTGATTGCCCAACAGTGTCTCTCATCGCGGATGCATTGTCAGAAATGGCTTGTGCCAGTCAAAGGAATGTGTTTTTGCCTTTGGAGAAGGGTGCTTTCCACAACCATGTTATCAGGACGTTGCTGTGTGAGTCTGTCTTTGTCCGCAGATTGTCCCTGTGTTCAAGCATCATTATTGTAGTTGTTTCCCTTATATGCATCTCTTGTGACCCTCAGTAATACCTGAGTGATGCTTTTTTCCCCAGTTAATTACATACATATGCTGTGTGGGAATTTCACTTATTTTGTTGTAATGTTTAACATCTATGGTCAAGGCATGGTAAATACGTAGGGTAGTATTTTGGGAAGAATGTGTATTTTTTTCCAGAGATGGCTAGGTCCGTGTTGTTCTGGGAATGGGAACTAGCACATGCTTTGTTGACAACATGTGTATGCTTAGGGAATGAAGAGCTGCTGTGGCTGGCGTGTTTGAGTGTATGCCCTGAATGCAGGTGATGTTCCCGTATAGGGCTGATTTGAGAGTGGTGTACTGTGAGAGGGCTGGCAGGTATCTTGGCTGTTTGTATCAGGACCTGTGCACATGTATTCAGGTAGATACTACCTTTAGTGTAATTTTGTTTAAAGTGTTCACTGCTGAGTTTTAGGGATCCTGGAAATATCTAGTTCAGTGATTCTTAACCTTCCTTTGGGGTCGTGGACACCTTTAGGGCCCTCTTCTCAATAAAACAGACACACATAAATTTGTATGCAATTACAGTCATCTTGAACCTGGTCCTGGGACCTCAACTTAAGATCTATATTATGCAAAAGTGAAAGGAATTTGAATTTTGTGTATTGCTTTGTTTTGTTTTTCTGTTAAGGATTGGCATTACTTTGGTCCTGAGCAGTAAGCAGCAAAGTAGATTAACTATGTACCCTTACATTTTGTTCTTTGATTACAGTTAGACATTTGTAAGGCATCATTTTCCTATCTTCCAGTAGAAAGATGTATGTGAAAGTTTCAGAAAAAGTTAAAACTGGAGTCAAAATAACTTGGTCTAAATCTGACCAAGTGATAATGTATGTTCCTTGCACTATATTCTAAATGTAGCAGATTTCAGCAGGGGTTTCCATGGTCTGTTTTATGGTGCCTATCTGGAATCGTTCCGTGTTGTTTTAGGTTGATCTGATCTTAAGGCTTTATCATTCCTGTAGTAGAGTACCTGCTCCTTGAAGATTTTTCAGCTTTATTAAATATGATTTCATGTCTTTATTCAGGGTGATATTACCATCAGAATCATCCATTTAAAATGTTTGTTTTAATGGAAGAATTTTAATTATAACTAGGGAAGTCAGTCTCCATGTTTGAATTCTAGAAGTAGGCATGAATGTTGCACCATTCTGTCAGTAAGCAGGGGATAAAATCTATCAGCTATTCGTTAAATCCCTCTGCAACCAGCCTTTGCCTTTTGGTCATATTTAAATCAAGAGACATTTCTTCCAGTGTGTGATAGTGTTGTGATGGACAGTGATATAAAAGAAGCACAGTCCCCAGCTCTCCAGGAGCTTATAGTTCTGATGATACTTTTCACTTAAAGAATCCCTTGGCGACTTCTTTTTTTTTTTTCATATTTTGAGGCTTCTGAGAAACCAAGGAATTTATGGCATTAACAGATTTTTGGAAGGCAGGGGAGCTTTGGAATCTTGCATAGAACGTGTTTTATACACCTGAAGAATAACATTTATTGTAATAATTATGCAGTGTACCTGTGAACTTTGAAAGCACGCTGAGATGGCAAATATTGCATTTTTTATTATCTAATAAACATGACTGAAGTGGCTTATATTATAGGTTATATTTTTTGTTCATGTAGTGCCTAAGGTTTTACTGTCAAATTATTTGCGAATCCTAAACCCAAACTGTTCAAAGTTGCAAAAATGTTACTTTTCTTTGTCAGCATAGTATAGTGACATTGTTAAAATCTCAGGGGACAGCGTACTTCCTTGATTTAGTATCGCAGAACCTCTTGTAACCAGTCACTTACCTAGGTCAACACCCACACACCACAGAGCAGCTGATCGTATAACTGATATGACTGAGAACAGCATTCTCTGCCAGATTCAGAGCTTGGAAGCTAGAAAACAATTGCAAAGCAGTGAAACACTTAAGGAGTAGTGGTGCCAGCAGCTCTCTCTCATTAGTACAAACAGCTTGCTTTTGTTTTTAGTTTTTTTCAGCGCTCTTCTTCAGACACCCTTCCCTTAGGAGGGTTCAGATCAGCAGCTCCTACTCAAGGGAAACAGCACTTTCTGCAGCTGTGGCCTCAAGATCTGATTTGTGACACCCAGAGCTGTTTCCATTTCTGCTCTCAGTATGGGAAGTAATCTTGTAGTGTGGTAAGAAAATACTTTTCAAGTCCGTAGAAGAAAA